TTTTGTATTACATATCAGCTCTTGACCGATAAGAATATCATTACTGATATTAATTAAAATAAAAGTCATCAATTATTGTAAATTTTATTAAAACATTTTATTTTTGTTACAATTGTAGCTAATAGTATTTGAATAATTGTTCGTTTTACTTATTCAAAGTGTGAAAAATGTGAAAAATCCTTCTACTACTCGAAAAAAATATTGGTTTCACCACTGTACCAGTTATTATCTTTTTTTATACTTCATCTTAATTTAATTTAAAAATATTTTAATACCTTAAATATATTTTGCCATACAAAAAAACATATCTATATTTTTTTTAATAAAACATTTTTCTTTGATACTATTTTTCTGAAAAATTTTATATCCTTTATGTTTTAGATATTTAAAAAAAGTTTAATTTTTGTTATTTATCTATTTGATATAAATGCTTAGACATTAGCTATAGTAAATATTTACAATATAGTTTATATTATGTTTAAAACATCAAATTTTCTTAGAAAAAAACGTTTTTTTTTATTTATAAAAAAAATTTTGTTTTTGCAACCCTGGCAGGTAATATTATGGTGAAAAATAATTGTAATTCGTTATTAGATAAATTATTAACATCAAAACCATATAAGTAATTTAATCTAATATAGATGAATATATTTATAACAATGAAATTAACTCAAGGCGTATTTATCTCTTAATTTCAAATTCTGCAATATCAAATAAAAATTTTTACACTTTATTGCTAGTTTAATATTATTTATTTGTTTTCTCTTTTTTTTTTCAATTTCGTTCTTATAAACCTAATACTTCGTACATTAGATTAATCATATCAATTCTGAATATTACAAATATCGCATAATATTAAATTGTATATATAATGACATTATTCTTTTTTTAATAGTAAATATAAATCTAAAATCCAATTCAGAACTTGGAATCAAAAGAAAAATGTATGAAAAACTTGGGATCGACTTTTTCATTGTAACTCACAAGGTTCAATTCGCCTGGGACCTGTAGAGTAATTTTTACGACACTAAGACGTTATTAACTTGACGGCTTACCCTTTTTTATTTACTAAAAATTACATCTACTTTACTTTTATAACTAGAATAATAATATATTATTGATCATATCTGAATATATTTTTTACATTATACAAACGCTTATTAATAAGTATTATTTAGAATAATCATGACGCCCTATTTACTCGTAATAAACTTTAATTGATTACTAAAAAATGTTATTTTTTACATACAATTAAATAAATAATAAACTAACTATAATAAATTTCACAAATAATAATTTATTATTGAAGTTCTACCATACATTCAATATTTATCAAAATTTAATGTGATTACCCTACATGACAGACGTAGTTGATTCTATTAACACACTTGCCATTATTGTCGTTGAATAGTCCAATGATCCGTCGAAACAGGGTACATAAATAGTATTTATCATAAAAAAATTGTATTGAACCATATATTTTATGTATAAAATTAAAAATATAAAAAAAATTTTTTTTACAATAATCTTATTTTTTTTTATTAACTTTGATGTCCGTTTTCACATAAAAACAAAATAAAGTCCGAACATTTTTTTTTCATAATAAAGTATATTACGTAAACTTTAATTTAAGGTATATATAAAAGTGTCAGTATTTATAGAACACTTTCAAAAGTCAAGTTAAAAAAGTTAATTTTTTGTAAAAAAGTTGTTATTTTGAATCCCGCCCCGTGGGCAGGTAAAGGGTCTGATTTAAAAAAAAAGTATATCGAATAAAAGAAGTATATAAATATTATTTCTTATAAATAAAGTGTATTGATCCATACTTTTTTCAAAAAGTTATAACATTTTAAAGTTAAAAATGTAAAATATAAAATCGAGAATTTACACACAAAAATAGCTATTTTCACCGTGAAGACAAAATAAAGTCCGAAATTTTTTTTTTCTATAATAAAGTATATTACATTAGCTTTAATTTAAAATATATATAAAAGTGTCAGTATTTCCGGAACACTTTCAAAAGTTAAGTTGAAAAAGTTGTTATTTTGAATCCCCCCCTGTGGGCTGGTAAAGGGTTAAATTTATAAAAAAAATATACCAAATGATAGGTAAAGACATCATGCATCTATAAAAAAAAAGAATTATATTGATTTGGTTATTTTTAAAAAAGTTATTACAATTTTAAGTAAAAAAAATTGAAAAAATTTCGAAAATTAGCGTTTTTAAAATTTGTAATTTTTTTGGAGGTTTCCCCATTTACGGGGAACGATGGATTTTTTCAATTTTTGAGGGTAATGTCTTTGATTAGATATGATTTGTGATCATTTGACGTATCATTGAAAGAAATCGGTTCGGAGAAAATCGGAGAAAAAGTGATAACAGACACAAAAGATAAAAAAACATATCATAGTAAAATTAATATCTTCTCAGCTTCACGTCGAAACTAAAAAAGCCTTAATTGGTTGTAGTAAATGTTACTTTATAGACAATACAACATACGACAACAGACAGCCATATATTAAGCATCATAATTTACGAAAAATTTTTATTAAAAAGCTTAGTAAATGTTTATTAGAGTTATAATTTATTTAATTATATAAATTTCTTAAAAATGTTACGTTTTATTAGAAAACTTTATGTAGAAACAGTGCTGCTATTTTTTAATAATTACGAATAGTATAAACAAGTTACATCCAAAAATAATATATCCTATCGTAGTAATTTTAGTAAAAACATTTAATATTTGAAGCAAACCTCTTCGACACTCATTCCATACACTTCATATCGATAGTGTTTCTAATAAACTACACGAATGTACGCCATGCGGCGACAAGTGATATGTTGTTGGGCGGTCAGATTGGCATCCTGAATATTTGTTGCCTGCTCCAACTATTGTAAAAATGGCGTTTTCTGTAGTGATGGGAAATATCGAATAGTAACTATCGAACTATTCGATAGTTGTCCACTATTCGAATAGTAAAAATATTCGATAGTTCACAATATATTCGAATAGTTTTTAAAATATTTGATAGTTTATGCTAAAAATAAAATATTCGGTGGTATAAAAACAGTTCGAATAATTAATCAATAGTTTAAAATATTTGAAAATGCTCATCACTAATTTTTTTATTATTAATTATATCCTATTTATAATCTTAGTACCCTGAATAAACAGTTTTAAAACAATCCTATTTAGATCGTTAGTGTTATTAAAACAGCAAAACTATAAATCTAACTATAATTTTACATAAGACCACTATTTTAGAAAATTTAACTTTACATATTTTTTTTTACGAAACATTTTGTTGTAAAATGATTATTTCGAAAATTAAGAATGATTTATATTCAAAAAATGAATTTTACCAAATTATATTTTTATTTTAATTTTTTGAGCAAGTAAAAATAATTTTAGAAAATTTTTGTGAATACCATTTTAAAAGAAAATATTAAAATCTATAATTTATATTCTATACATTAATTTTCAACCCATATTTATCAATTTTTACCAACGACTCACAAACTAAAAATAAATAAAATTGTACTTTTTACTGTTATTAATTGTATAATAATTTATTTTAAGTATTCGATAATTATCTTCTTATTATAATTAATTGTACTTAATAAAAATTTTAATTAGAACTAACCGAATATTTTTTGAAACCATTCGATAGTCTATTAGAATATTTTATGCTAAAAACACACTATTCGGTTGTACAAAAACAATTCGAATAGTTATTCGATAGTTTAAAATATTCGAAAATGCCCATCACTAGTTTTCTGCATTTAAAACTGTTTTAACTTGTTTTAGAAACACTGATCCCAATGAAATTTTAGCAAAATAAACAAAAACAGGTTACTTTATATGATATACTTAGTATAAAAATCCTTTAAAAACCCGTGTACCGTAAGAGTTTCCAGGAGATGCATACAACACAATTTTTTCAACTAAATTTTTGAAAATGTTCTGGAACATCTACCTATTTTTAATCTATATCTAATTAAAGCTTTTGATTCTTACTACAAAAAAAAAAAGCATTTCCAAAATTGTTGGTGGATGTTAATCTTTATCAGATATCATCTATACTTATTTTAACTATGCAACAACCATCACTGTGCTGAGTTTTTTTTTTGTGATTAAAATAAAATAGCTATTGGCAAAAAATAACTTTGTAGAAGACAGAAAATTACATAAATAACACTGATAAAAAAATACATTGACATTAAAAATTTGTGAATAATTTTATTAAGAAGAATAATTTATTGAAAAATTATAAAAATAATATTAATTTATATACTGATGGATATTGATAATATTTGCTAATTGGTACTCAACGAGCTTTGTTCAAATACCAACTCGATAAATGTATTTTAAGTAACATTAAATTGATTTTGATACTCAACAAATCGATTAATAATAAAGAATTGTTTTTGTTTCTCAGATTATTTATAGAAATAATAAAATATTATAACTTAAATGAAGGGGAGCAGTAACATTGTTCATGATTTTTAACATTGAGATTGCAATGGTACTATTTTATAAATACTAAAAAAATTATATAATACAATATAATACAATGTTAATATATGTATTCCATTATTTTGCGTAATCATGCAAAATGCTTAAATACTTTAAAGTTCACATGTTGTATTATGTAATCTTTTTCTTTACCCATTAGTAATTTGTGTTTTCAGTAATTATCCAAAAATATCACAAATAAAAATTAGATTACATTTTAATGATTATTATTATAATAACAATCACTCTTAACTTAACTATTACAAGTACCAAATAATTTTACTAAAATAATTATGTTGAGTTATACTTTTTGTTTAAATATGGTATAAGTCAATTTTTATAATAAAAATATATATTAAAACTTGCTCTTCTTACTCTGTGGGCCATAGTAATTTTATAGTTGGCTTGTTTAAACTTATTATTTAACGTTTTATTATTTTTAGAATATCAATTCTACAAAATTTTGTTTTTCCCAGAGTCGCAGGACCAGTATGGAAAATTGGTGGCAAAATACTACAATCAGTGTGTCTGTCCCTCTTCTAACTACTTTCAGTAAGTTTATTAAGAAAAAAAAAGAGAGCTTGTAGATTTTACGTAGTCACATTAATTAATTAATAACACATTAAGGTCAACTGAATTTTCATTATATTGATGTTTACAAGCATGGGTTCAAAATTTAACCGATAGATTCGTCACATACTTAGATAATGTAATTCTTTGAAAATATAGTATCACTTTGTTTTCTTATGCATATAGCTGATTACATTAGTTCATTATTTTTATACCATTTAAAATAATCTTAATATTGCTATATTAGATAAGAGAAATCATTACTTTTATAATTTTAATTGCTAATTTAAAACGGTAATAGTACATAATTTGTTCTTTATTTAGAATTTCTGTGTAGTAGTATTATTAAAGTACTACTATAAGATAAAATTACTACAAAATTGATAGCAAACTATAGTACTAAATATTGCAAAACAAACTGCACCTTTCTTTTTGTATGCTTCAAAATTATTAGACATATTGCACTACAAGTGCAAACAGCATTGAATTTTATGACATTTGAAAATTTGTTATGATTCAATCTAGTTTATTTTTCTCTATTTAAATATAAATATAGAGCTATTAACTTTCATAAAATTTGATTTGAACTTAATTTAAATGCTAAAAACAAATTATGATACAATGTTACTTTTATGGAAGGTCAAAACTCTGAAGCTGTTTATATCGAAACGATATCTTTTCTACGGCTCTTTTGCACTCTCAGTGCACTAAGTTTAAAGTGCGACCAAATAGAAATTGTGACTATCTTTGTTATGTAATTTTGTCGTTACCTCGTTGTGCTCGATAGATTTGTAAAATAATACAGTTGTTAGAAAAATAGCCATGTCATGTTGCAAAACCGTTAGACATGTCCACTAAAATAAAACGGCAAGTCTTCAATATAAAAATCTAAGAAGTTTTGAAAATTAACCTGAAGTAACTATAAAATGTATAAATGTAGTGGTGTACCTAATTTTAGTACCGCAGTAAATAATATCAAATATAAAATTTTCTTAATTATTTTTTATTGTATAAAAAAATTAAATAATATAAAAATAATATTCTTTTAAATAATTTATTTTGGTAGCGAAAATTGAATGAAAGAAATAATAATTATAAATTAAAACGGTTTATAATCATAATTAAATATAATTTTATAATGAATTTCATAAGTAAATACTTAATATTAAATTTTTTTTCCTATATATGTCATGATAATTATCAGACAAAAATTAAAAATTGAGTAAAAATGTAGATTTTTAAAATAACTATAAAAAATATATAAAGGTAATTTAAGTTGAATAATTAAAATGATCCCTAAATCTTTATAATATTTTAGATTTAATCACAACTAAGTTGTTTTATAGAAAAAAAAAGTTGATAAGTTCTTACTTAAGGAAAATTGTTATAAAACTAACGCTGCAGTTAAGAAATTATTGTAATGAAAAGAGTAGGATAAATGATAAACGAACGTTTTAATTAATTTTTACTTAATTACTACCCAGTGAAAATAAGTCATTAGATAAACTCTATCTAACTAGTAAATAAAAATATCTTCTAAATAAGTACCAGAGGATTTTATACATTTAAAAGAATAAGTAAAGCCTAATTATTTTTTGTCGTCATATTGTCATGAAAGCAAAAATAATTTAATTTATGTATAAATTTGACACGTAATAAAATCTAAAACTTAAACATATTATTATATAAACATTTAAAAAGGTCTTAAGAGATAGAATTTTTATCTATCTCCAGATAGTTACATCTTTACATACACATGATTATATCTTTTATACATTTTTTAAAGACGAAAATAATTAAAAATCACTGTAATGTTTTACAGTGGAATATAAAGATAACACTATGACGTAATAATAATAGGAATGCAACATTAAAATATTATGATATCCTGAGTTTGCTTTAAAAAATGATTTGATGGGTTCACTAAGATTGGTTTTACTAAGATGTGTTTATTTTTTTTTTTTTTGTGTCTGTTACCACTTTTTCTCAGCTCTCACCGAACTGATTTCTTTCAATGATACGTCAAAAGATCACAAATCGTATCTAATCGAAGACATTACCCTCAAAAATGGAAAAAATTTCCCCGTAAATGGGGTAAATCTCCAAAAAAAATAAAAATTTAAAAATCGCTAATTTTTGACATTTTTTTAACTTTTTTTACTTAAAATTGTAATAACTTTTTTAAAAATAACCAAATCAATATAATTCTTTTTTTTTATAGATGCATGATGTCTTTACCTATCATTTGGTATATTTTTTTTATAAATCTGACTTTTTACCGGCTCACAGGGGGGGATATAAAATGACAACTTTTTTACAAAAATTTAATTTTTTCAACTTAACTTTTGAAAGTGTTCTGGAAAGTCTGATCCAACTATGCCACGTCACCACTGTGCCACGACCCCTCTGTGCTGGGTTTTTTAAATGTCTGATCTGTAATTTTTGAAACATTATTTTGTAATAAAAAACATTATACAGTGTATTAATTAACAGAACTTTTTGAGAAGTCTCAATTTTTCTGTAACCTGAGAATACAAGAGTCTGGACATTTTTGTGTCAATATTTTCTTAATTTAATTTTAAAGATATGTATAATTTCATGAAAGGATTTGTAATTAAATAGATATTGTATAATGTTTATATCAAATCAATATAATAAAAATTTAAAAAATAATTACCACTATCATTATATTGTTTTCTAGCAGGATATAAATTGTAAGATTTATTATTAAACCCTTAAAAAAAAAAAGATTTTAAGCATATTATAATTTAATAATATGAGCTTTATCTGCTCTTGAATTATGTCTTTAATAATTATTGCATTTAACGTATTTCTAGTAGAATGTAATCATAATTTAAAATATCCAAAATTAATTTTGTTTTAAGGTATTCGAATATTATTGTTTAATATTAATGTATTATATTTTTAATATATATATATATATATATATATAAATCGAATTTTCACATGCATGTATTGAAAATTTCTAATGTTTTCAAGGGAAAATGAAATGAATAGTGTAAACATTATATAGTATATATTATACTGTGTACTAATTTTATATACTTTAAATTACTAATATATACTTTATATTATATATTAATATATTATTTTTGATAAAATATACTATATAAAAAATATTTTCAATACATTTTGTGAAAAGTATGTTGTTTTTATAATTTTAACTTCAATTATCACTATTACTTTTTTTCTATAGCAAAAATAAAAATTAAGTTATACTACTCAAATTTTAACACTTGTATTATTGATTTTTGATTCATAAATACTAATACTGATCTAATCTATAATAATAATAATTATCATTACAGTCACTAAGATAGAAAATAGGGTGATAGGGTGACAATGGGTGTTTTAATAAACAAAAATGACAACTCAGTTTCTGTAAATATTATGAAAACGTTTTAGTAAAAAGGTGTTTATTCAGTCAAAGTTCTTCTGTTTCATAAAATGTTTGTATGACAAAAGAAACTTAATTATGCGTATAAAAAGCCAGTAAAAAGTGTGATTATTACTTTATAAAATATAAGTATAATTAGTCTAAAATAAATACACGAATAAATAATAAACGTAATATAATTAAGTTCTTGTTTTTGGATGGCAATATAAATGTTTAAAAATTAATATAATTTAATTAATTGATATTTGGCCCACTAAAGCTATCATTATTAAACTTGCGTAAACTGGAAAAATGTAACAATCGACTAGATGATATCATCATTTAGTGAAAATGTCACTAGGGGTTTGGTTGGGAGTATTTTCTATATGTGTTTAGCGTTTTTAATGGTAGAATTATACCCGAAATAGGTATACGCGGTTTTTTTAGTAGGTTTTGTGGTTTTTGAGTTATATATCTTTAGTTTTAAATTATCATATCAAATTTGATATAAAATTATCCACAAGTGATCAATTCTTATTATATATTTTTTTAATTTCTCTAGAAGTTTGAATTTTCACATACATTTACTGAAAGTTTTTACGTTTACAATGTAAAGAAAAATGTTGATACTTTGTGTCAATATTGTACTACTCATTATTTTATGCATATAATATTATAAACGAATAGAACATAGAAAAATCTAGTGGATCAAAAGTTATTGTACTTGTTAGAGCAGTCTAAAACGCCTTGTATATATTTAAGAGAATTTTAATACCATGGTACATTCTTTTAATGTTTACCTTAAATAGTTTTACCATAAAAAGACACGAAATTTTATTTTTCGGCAATTACTTTTATATCTTACTCAAGTATATTTTTATATTAAGTTGGGATTTTTATATCATTTTGTTGATGAATTATTATTATTTGAACATTTCAAGCATCATTTGATTGGTTAAAAATGAAATCTACAGAAAAATTCATTACTTCAAGAAATCTTTTCATATTGAGCCTACAAAATATAAGATATGCTAATGTTGCTTTAGATTAGATAAGTAAAATACTTTATAGAATTATGTATTAAATATGTAAATTATCGATTAAATATGGACTGTGGGTATGTGATGCAATTGTGCCAATTGGACATGGATATTATAGAATCTTTGCCCATTTACTCTTCCCTCTGTTCACTCTGCCCATTTACTAGATATGCCAAGAACTATTTACAATCTCTCTAAACATTATTATCTACAAACGAATATTAGCATATAGTTTGGTATATTCGTATATAGATTGTGACTGCATATAGTAGCATATATACAACATCGTTACCAGGAATAAAAAAATATGTAAAATTTTAGTATTGAATAAAAGCTTGAGTTCATGGTACACTACTTTAATGCAATAAAATTGTTCTCCAAGAAAAATTTTAATAAATTGTTTAGAAAATTTTCAACAAAAATGGACACTCTTCGAAGATACGCGAACAGTCAAGTGTTTATACAGTTATTTTCTTTATTTTTTAATGATGCATACACGCATTATTTATACTTGTTATTTCAATTATTATTTTTTTTAATCTTAA